CCATTCTAGGGTCCTGGCCCCTCAAGGGGGGACGCCAAAGATCTCATGGAGGCACAAGGCTTTGTCTGCTTTGAGGTCATGATTAAACACTTACTGGATAGTCTCTAGAAAGCTAATACTTTCTTTTTTATCAGTTACCAGAGACATGTTATTGCAGAACTGAAGCGTACTGATTATTAAGTTAAATATTAACATTTCAGGTAAACTTAAGGAGGAAATCTGAGAAATCCCCCCAGTAATTCTTTAATTACATTCAGCAACTGTAACTTCCTCATCTTCCAAAATTCTGCTTTCATTTTGAAACACAGTGGGACATTTTCTGCTTGTGCTGTTTACAACCTACATGTTACAAAGTCTGTTATTCTGTAGTTGACAGGAGTCACTTACTGGACTGGACTCACACATGGATACACTTTGTGTAGAGCCAACTCAAGTCTGTTTGTGGTTATAAAAAAAAAAGGATCAAAAGCTACAAGAAGATCGATGGGCAAAGATGGATTGAGCAGATATGTCACCTCTTCTTATTCTGTTTTTGTTTTTTATCACATGAATGGACTGAAATAATACCACATTAAGCGGCTTTTACCATCTCTAATCAAATGAAAAAATGGCAGTAAAAAGATCAAAATCAGATCAGTCCCTTAGTTATCGTGTAGTATTTCCTGTGCAACATTTTTAATGCATGCCCTGAATATATGAAATGCCTGTTGTGGCCTGTTTTCCTCTAATTAAAGTCAAAATGCTAAATTAGCCATCTGGCCTTCTGTTCTTTTAAAGCCTTGCGTCTCCTGATATACTGTAACCTACAGACCCCGTGCAGGACAAGAATCCAAAACAGATGTACTTTAGTTTGATGTTTCTTAAAAAACAAAAAAACACAACCTTAAACAAACAGAAAAAAGAGAGATTATACAACGGGAAGAGGAAAATTAAATCAAATGTATTTCCATATTAAAGATGAAGCAGTGTAATAAAATGTGAGATGGTTTAAGTCGCCCTGTGGTTTATGTCTCTTTAAGAACTCATTTTCTTTTTGTGATTTGGCCCAGCTGTGTTTGACAATGGCGATGCATGCATATGAATAACAATGTATTAAAGTCCTATACTATGTAAGGGGTTACAAAATAAGGAGGTCAGGGGTGCAGGGATAACATCTCCAGTACGTACCTCAGCTCACAATTCAGCGCTTAAGTCGAGGTTCTTAAAATAATTGGCCTATATTTGGGCAGTACTGTATCTGCCTCTGCACAATAATGATGTAAATCAATCCCTGTGCTTGCTTAAAGCACAAAAACTCAAATCCAGTTCTTTTTAAGTTGGAGAGATTTTGTGACTTTGAATTGTTTCCTTGCATTGCCAAAAGTCACTGTGCCCTGCATGCTAAGTAGGCTGGAATAGAGATTCCAAATATAAAATACAAATTTGTTTAAGGCTCATGAAAATGTGTCCACTCTGGAGGGATTAAAAATAGGATTGAGCTAAAAATGGGGGATGGAGGGGGGGGGGGTCACTTCAATCACTGCTTTCACTGCATGTTTGTATAACTCCAAGCAAAGTCAGTGAGTGAGAGCAGGGGTCCTGCAAAAACCTGTTTCACACTAAATGCTTTGCCTTCCCTGTTTCTTTAATCAAATGCACATTTTCTCGTCTTCTGTAATAAATGTCTTCCAAGATGGTGTACGACCAATGATTTCAAAAAGCAATAATGCAGAGAAATGGATAAATCCCCCCCCCCCCTTCCCTTACTTCACCCCACCCCACCTCACACACACACACCCGAGATGCTCTGGAAAAAGAAACTGTGTCGTCTAGTAAAATTCCATCAGCATACACTCAAAACCCCCATAAAAACCTTTTCAATCTATATGTTAATGCCACGAATTAAAATTTAATAACAAGAGATATTGAAAAGCAGACTTGAATTATACAAAAATAAATCCTGAAAGATCAGACCCCTAAAATTAGAAATTCAGGGCGGCATCCGGTCTGCTGCTAAACCCTTGTAGGCTGGCAGATTAAATTTTTGATGAAAATCAAAATTGCACTGCACACTGACGCAGGCGCAGCAAACCTGGCACTATTGTGATTTATGGATTCATTAAACCCAGGGGAGTTTCACCCCCTCCCCTTTTCACTCAGAGAAATGAGATTTGCTTTGCTGAAAAATTTGTATTTTCAGAAAAGCTACTCAGTGCTTTGCTCTACCTTTTCAGAAAACGGTCAAGGAAAAAAGAAGCTCCTGTGTACATAACCACTGCACGTAAACAGCCCTAATTTTCATTGCTGCAGCAATTGAACGTCCTCATGCATTATTCATGGAACCAATAAGGTTCATTTTTAAAAAGGAAGAGGCAGAAAAAAAAAATATGTGCAGAATGCACAGATTTTTTTTTTTTTCTTTAATGCAGCAGCCCCAACCTCTGAAAAGCCATTCCCCAGAGACTCATTTAAGTGAAGCCATTTTCAGACAGTTTCAACACGCCACTAAAGAAAGTAGCAGGAGATAAGATGTGCGCCATGTCTAAAAGGGATGTATGTTTCTTTCCCAGACACATCTAAGACCAAATCATGAATCTGTTACTGTGCATCAACAATAAAAAAAACAAACAAAAAAAAGGAAGTGGCTCGACATCAAAGCCAGAAACTGTTTGTGTAACATCACTTAGCCTTTCAAATGGAAAACAAACGTCTGTGCTAAGTTAATGACAAACGCAGCAGCAACCAAACAATGTTTTCATACTGGAACCTACAGGCGGTGATATGATCCCTCAACATCTTGTGCTTATCAGAGCCTGAAGGGACAAGTTTCACCTCTCCATCCAAACTATTTGCTCCAAAAATCCTCCATGAAACAAAGCTTTTGTTCATTAAAGCACAGGCACAGCAGCATTCCTGTACCCTTACTTAAAACGAGAGGAACATTCGACAAAGTCCCCCATTAACTGATCAGGGTTTAAGGTGTTTTTCATTTCAACACTGCTGCATTACTCCTGAGAGATTTATAACATATTACTCGTTCCTTCAGGTATTCTGCATATAAACATTCCCATCACTGGCAAGAGGGATCCAGCCCTATTAAACCCATGACACCGGTTGCCTCTCTTCAGCCCTGTATACTTTAACTCAAACTCCTGCATTTTGATGAGACTTTCCCAGCAAAGGTCAGAATTTACACCCAGATTTTGCATACCAACCATACATTTTCCACCAGCTCTATGAATTTAAACAGATTTGAAGGTCAGCATTAAAATTACCCACAGCAAAAAAAATAAAAAAATGGCCTCCGCAGTTTTCCCTTACATTTAAATAAAAGCAAGCCGAGCAAGATGGGAAACTGTTTGGCGTCTGCAGGATTAATACAAACAGTACAGGCACTGGTTGTGATTGTTTTTCCTGCCCTCAAATTATGCTGACATGGTCCTTTCTTCTTCCAGAGCTGTTCACTTCACTTTGGATAGTTATTTTCCGCTTACACATTTTCCAATCTCTAGAAGTTAAAAAAAAAAAAAAAATCCAATTTGTTCCATGTTTACTAAGGGGCCATTTATATCCCTATTAATCCATCTGTCCACAAGTATACACACATGCATACAGAGCAAATGACAAACAGGAAAGTTATAGATAATGTGTTTGTTAGAGAAGGGGTTCTCAAACTTTTCAGCCCGTGGCCCCCAAAATAACGGTGCTACAGTCTGGGGACCCTCACTGTCCCTGGAGGCCCTTGTGCAGTTGGGCACATGCAGAGATAGGCCTATCTAAACCAACATTATAACAACATTAAAGAACACACAGGCTAATTGTTGCAGTCATGTGCAAATTGAACATTTTAAGGATTTATTACACATTACTTTCATTTCAGTATCAATCTAAATTGCACTACGTTTTGTGTATATCTTTACAATAAATGGGTAAAATATACAATTTAAAATTTGTATTAGGTTTTCAGAAGGCACCTCGTGACCCCCCCCCCTTTTGGGGTCTCGACCCCCAATTTGGGAACCATTGTGTTAGAAAAGACCCAACATGGATTTTTTTTAAAACTTTTTTTTTCCACTTTATCTCCTATGCACATAAAAAAGTCCAAATGACAAACTTTAATTATATACATTATAATAAATCATGAACAAAACCAAAAAGGAGAAGACAGTGTAAGGTCATTTTGCATTCATTACCATAAACAAAAAGAAGCAAATTTTATCTCATTTGAAGTTACAAGCAAATCATGTATGAATGACGTCTGTTTGTTTAAAAACGCTCCACAATATGCACCCATCTGTATAAACTGGCATTAACTTTTAAAGAATAAAGTCTCAAAAACAAGTGCCATTACAATTTATTTTTTTAATTTCCAAAAAAATGACTACCTACAGGTGGCGCCAACGACTTCCAGATTTAAAATCCTCTATCTTCCTAAAATATGAAACATTTGAATTGTGTTTTTGATACGACGACACTTTGATGTTTTTCTCACGGCTGTCTTCACTGCAAAGCAAGCCGTCAAAAACACCCGAAAGTAACGTTTGGTGTTGTGTGACTTTCACGGGGAAGAAAGTCCGAAGCTCTGCTCAAATTTGATGGGGGAAAAAAAATTCACAAAACATGGCTGCAGGAGGTTTTTTTTTTTTTTGTGTGTGTTTCAGATTGTTCCTCCCCTCATCGTCCTCTTTGCCCTGTCTGCATATACTGGTGCTTATCTTAGGAGGCGTACATGTGAACAAGCTCGGTGCACAGACAAAGTCAGCACTTACATGGAAACTTCATTACGAAAATTCAGTCAGGAAAAAAAAAAAACATCAACAGATTAAGGTCTATTTTCGGGTGGCTTCAAAGACTGCACCTGGTTCACTGGCAGGGGACTTGTGCTAAAACACTGCCAGGTCTCGCCTTTACAGTGGATGTGGTTTTGAAACTTAAAACCGGCAACTGAAATTTCTCAAATTTAGGATTTCTAAGTCAGACAGAAAAAAGGAAAAAAAAAGGAAAACAGCGGTGTGACATACCTCCAAAAAACGATGCAGTTCATGCGAAACAGCCTCTCGCTCCAAGAAATCTTCCCTCCCCGACCAGAGGTGACTGCACAACTGCTTCCTCAAAAAAAAAAAATCGTGAATTAGTTATGAGAATTTCCAAATGTTGAAAAAAAAATTTCCACCACAGCGGGTTTCCCCCCCCCTCCTCTCTCGGCAACACGCTACGTTACATTTTTTTTTTTTTAAGAAAGAGTAATAAGCGTAATGATTCACAAATTTTGCTGAGGTTTACTCTGCCCGTGCCAGCTCTCCGGTTTATGCCGTGAATGCGGGGTTGCGTTGCGGTTCCTCCTGTGAAAATTTTCGTCCGCCATATACAAGGGCAGATTCCGAAATTGCAGCGCCGGCCTGTATATTAGTCTACATGAGAAAAAAAAAAAAAAAAAAAAAAAAAGGAAAAGGAAAAAAGTCTGAGAGACAGGGGGGGGGGAAATGGTTGGCCGACAATGACGTTACACGGGGAAAAAAAAAAAAAAAAGGAGGCTGGAAAATACGCAGAGGAAAACATTCTCATGTGAGCTGAGAGCATTATGATAGTCTGATCTCACAGCAGGTGTTTTTTTTTTTTTTTAAATGACACGTTGAGGATATTTAATGAAGATAAAACTTCTGGGTTTTTTTTCTCGTTTGGCTGTTGACAATTTCTGCCTTGCATCAGTTTCCACATACACTTTATCGCAACATTACTTGTTATGGGTAAGGTTTTGGTTGGCCAACAAATTTTGAATTCAAAAGCACTCTGAATTAACAGTCTTTTTTTTTTTTTTTCTCTTTTGAAATTGTTTAGTTTCTTTTGTAAGTTGTTGTTTGTTTTTGTCAGAATTTCTGCTTTATCAGCATTTATTTAACTCATCGCACTTTTTTAATTCATAATAAGTTGTATTTTACATTTATATTGTATGTTCATGTGAAATTGGACTCAAACAAGGGTAGATAAATATAAATATACATTTGATTTAAAAAAAAATGATGATCATTATAAACGTTACAACAATTTGTAAAGTAGGCCTTCTTGTGAAATATCTCAGAGAGTATAAAGAACAAATATCCCTGATCAGGGGGTATGTAACTGCAATATAATCGATTCTTAAGACATTAAGGGCATAATGCTTTTCTTAACTATTCTCCACTAAAAACGAATTCACTCAGTCATGTCTGTGAAAAGTAAACCCTCATCAGTTCCCTCACGATGGCTGTTCAGTCATGTGAATAATTAAACTGTTAAATAATTTATTAATTGGTCAATTAGTCAATTAATCAATTAAAAATTGTAATGAACTTTTTTAGGCTTTGCAATTATGCAGCGTTTCAATGAAAAGGTAAGTGATAAAACAATAGATGGAAGACACAATCATTGACTATGAAATCAAAAAACTGCAAAAGGACAAATAAATCTGCCAAAAGGAACTGCATTAAATCAGAGTCATTTCATTTATTTATTTCAACTCAGGACAAACTTTCTTCCGATAGGACATATTCATAAAGGTTTTATGTTGTCACAGATTTTTATCGCAGGACACAAAGAGCTTATCAAACAACATCCTGTTTTGTGATAACAAACTGTTTCTGAGGGGAAGCACTTGGATCAGTGACATTTCTCAATGTATTTTTGATATTTTTGTCTATGGCAAACCGTGCATGACAGGAAAATGTTGTGTTTAATATCATATGGAAAAGCAATACTATTGAGTTGCAAGCATTGCTGGAACGCAATAGAAAAAGTACGAGTGACTTGTCACTGAAACAGTCAATGTAAAAACCAACAACCTTCAAGTGAGTACCTGGAAACTCTCCACACAAATCAGTGAGAGAGTTACCGGGACAGCTAAAAAGTAACAATACAATACCATTTTCAAGGCACCAATTATGCCTCATAGTTTAGTCAGGTCAATCAATACTATGAATTAAAAGGATACATTACCCCTTTAAAAAATGATGGATCTGGGCACTTAAAGGCCTACAGACAAAGTCCTATGAGGTCTCTGATGGAGCTCTTGTCTGGCTGCTTCACAGAATGGCAAATATTCTCTAAGGAAAAAGAAACTTCATGATGTCAATGCAAACTGAGCTTAAGTTTTCCAGAGGGCAGGTGAGTGACTTTTAACAAAAAGAAATGAAAACTGGAATAGTCTCATAAGATTTGAAATGAGTAGTGTTTATTTAACGATCTAAACAGTCTGCACATCAGCAGTCATAACATCGGTGCCATGAATCCTGGTGGAGGCAGCATCATGCTGACACGATCTGCAGCAGGCCTTTGAGGATCTTTGAGGGTGTGGGGAACAAAATACTGCAGCAAAATACAAATAAAAAAATCCTTTAAGAAAGTTTTCTGCACTCTGGAACTTTGGCAAAGAAGAACTTTGTACATGCTAAATATGAAAAAGGGTTCATTACCAATCTGCACATACTTCAGGCTACAACTGCTGTCAAAGAAAAGTTGCTGCATTTAAACAGAGTTTAAATGGAGTGGGTTTTTTTGGACTGTAGTTAATTTATCATTCGAACGTAAACATTTTCTATTCCTATACAATTAAATCTATTGTTTTTTTCCTCTCACAGGATCTGTTCACAAATTCGAATTCCATCCATTGATAATTGTTATTAAAAGACAAAGTAGAAAAGTCTGGATGAGTCTTATACATAGATTTTCCATTCATCACAGCAGTAACCTGATTTATTTGACCTTTTATATAAAATTCTGCTCAGCCATATTTTTCATTTTTCTTCTAAATCAATATGATTGCACAGAAGTTTGAAGCTATTATTAATATTTGACATATACATAATACAGGCACAGCATAAGAAGCTCCTTCTTCCTGTTTTAATCAAACCAGACTAATAAAAGGAAACGCAAAACACGTCAGACGAACTATGCTTTCATTTAGTGCTCTGTAATTAGATGTACTTTCCTTTTGTTAGAGTTTACATCAGTTTCAGAGAGCTGCTTCATATGCTAATTCTGTCCCATGTGTATCTAGAAATGTATAATTGGTGCTTGTATGATTTATTGCATATCAAAAACAATGAATTGTTTATGAACTGCACTCAAAGCCTTTTTTTTCCACTTCCCCTATCTCTCCAACACCTTTTGTAGTTTTCGTTCCTGTCCAGCAGATGGCACCAACACACCAATAAACAGTAACTGGTGAGCCTACGCTGCATCTGTTGAGTAGAATTTTATTTTGCTCTCTTACTCCCTCTGCTGCTTGAATTTCGGTAATGTCTGATCAAATATAAGCTAATACAGAGATACTGCCTTTTAATTATCTTTGAATAATTTTATATAGCACATTTAAAACAACCACAGTTGACCAAAGTGCTGCAGGCTTAAACACAAAACAATAATTAAGAGTAAAAAAGTTGAAGAATAAAAATGTCAGGATGTCATTCTCAACTATAAGCCAACACAAAGAGATGGCCCTTGAGCAAAGATTTAAAACTTTGGGCAGTTCTGATGTTCACAGACTTCATCTATCCATTATCTATGCTGCTTTTCCCATTCGGCGTCGCGGGGGCTGGAGCTGATGCCAGCTGTCATTGGTTGAGAGGCGGGATACACCCTGGACTGTTCACCAGCCAATTTCAGGGCTCACAGGTAAACTGTTCCACAGTTTGCAAAAGGCTCTGTCACCTCAGGTTTTCAGTATGGATCAAGGAACATCTGAAAGCATGTGCTCTGTTGACCCCAGTGCTCTGTCTGGAGCATGTCGGTGCAACAGCTCAGAGCATAGTGGTGACAGCCCATGTAAAGTTTTAAAACAAGTAATAAGTCTAAGTGACGTCACCCATTGGCTTCTGTGAAGCAGACTTTTCATCCAAACATGAAGTAATAAACTTGTGAATGACTTGCTCAAATTAATTTGGAGAAAGATAGGTCTTTACTTTCCCAAACAGTGTTAACTGGAAGAATGACAACTGACCTGATCCGTTGGTCAAATTTGAAAGAGCTGAGTTCCGGTTTTCTAAAGAATATAATTTTAGTTAGTTTAACTCAATCCAGGATTTAACATCTTTTAGGCAGTCCAGCAAGGCCTGCACATAGTTATTATTTGTTTTTATTGGAAGATAGATTTGCTAAACAATGGAAATAAATTACATGTTTTTAAAAATTGTACCCCAGGGGAAGCGTATACAAAGAAAAGAGAATAGGGCCTTAAATTGAGCCTTGAGGAACCCCAGAATCTAGTTGGGCTTCTGCTGAGAGGTATTGTAAAAGATGGACAGGAAAAGTGGACAGTTAAGTACTTTTAATGCCAACAAACAGTTCCTGGCTTTTTAAAATAATCTAATGAGCAGTAAACTCTAAAAGCACTAGTATAGCAGAGTTCTTAGCGTTAACTGTTAAAAGAAGATCATCAAAAACTCTTAGTGCGGTTTTGGTGCTGTGATGTTATTTAAAACTGTTGTTGTATTTTGGAAATACCATTACATTGGAACACAGCCTGAGATAAGGGAGGTATTTCCCAAACTTAAAATACATGACCCAACAGTGTTATAAATGTCTTCAGATTTTTCCACAGGATAACATGATGTCCCAAAATAAACGACACATTAAGAGATGTTCAGTGTCTTTAGGCATTGACACATTCAAGGGCAGTTCATCCATGGCATCAGCCATTTTCATCTAAGAAAGTTAATCAATCATTTAAATATTATGGGGATTTTTTTGGTTGGAGCTGATTGGTTTAATCAAATTAGTATAACTGTGTTGTTGACAGAAAAAGCAACCTGATAGTACAGCTAAACTAGTCAAGTATTTAATCAAAAACAAAACCCTTATTGACATCAATACATTTATCACTTAACTTATGCTGCACTAAGATACTGTCTGAGACCCCGAGGTAGGTAGGATAACACTAATCTTTGAGCGGTTTCCAATGCCTCAGACCTGAAAGAATTCAAAGTCTCTGAGGGAAATACAAAAATGCTGGATAACACTGGGTTTGTTTCAACTTTCCAGAGTATTTGGAGAGCACAGTGTCATACAAAAGCCATTCAAAGTGCTTTCAGCGCGATAACAAAAAGGAGCTGAGAATAAGTGACAAAATGTAAACAGAAAAGTAACAAACACAACAAATTAAAAGCAATTTAACAGCCATACTTAAAGCCAAACTCAGATTGCTGTCAGATTTTCAGTTAAACATAAGAGGGTATAGCATGAAATGGAAGGAACTAATAAAACTCAAGTAAAGCCAGATTCTTTGGCCTTCACAGGAAAAAAAAAGGCGAAAGGGGAGGGGGGGGGGTTATTGTGGTATGGTGGTGTATGGTTTGTTTGCAGAAAAAGTGGATCAAGATACTGGTGATCTTTTAAATTTGTCTTTGGGGGAATAAAT